ATAAACTCATGGGCTCCCAGACATTGACTCCAAAAAGCCAACAACAACAAGCACTGAAAGAGGCGCTTGAGGTGGGGGGTGGCTGAATGGACTCTGTGCCTATGTGCAAGGCCCAGCGGCCGATAGACGCCCCCAACACACACACACAAACACAAACACACACGCACGCAGTGCTAACGAAACGCAGACGAAGCAGACGTCGATGTCGCTGCCAGCGCCTGCGTCGGCGTCGCTGTCAACCGACAAGTTTCGTCCTTTGGCTTTGGCTTTGCTTCGTTTTGCGTTTTTTGCGCTCCTTTTTGTTGGTCTGCGTTGCCAAGGGTTTCCTTTGTTCAACCCCCAACCCCTCACACACACACACGTAGCCGTCGTCGTCAGCTTCTTCTTCTTCTTCTTCTTGGCACGACAAGTCTGTTGCACTCACGACCCCAACGACGTCGACGGCGACGCCGCCTAATGACTAACGGACCCTTTGCTACTCTTCGTCTTCTATTTTTTTTTTGCTCAATAACATTTGCTGCTGCTGCTGTGTTGTTGTTGTATTTCTTGCATTTTGTTGTTTTTGCGTGCCACCCCCACTCCCCCTCCCACGCTGCCCTCCCCACTGCTGTGCCCTTCGCTTGAAAACATTTTTTGTGTTTTGCATTTTTTGTTTTGCTCGTTTTGTTCGTTGCGTTTTTGGCCGCTGCGACGTCGACGCCAACGCCGACGCCGACGCTGACGCTCTCAACTGTCACTCGCTCGCTCGCTCGCGCTCTTAATGCAAGAGGCCAATTGCAGTTGAGAGAGCGAGCGCGAGCGACTGACTGAGTGAGTGAGTCGAGTGAGTGAGTCTACTGTGTTGGCGCGCGCTCCTTTAGCAACATGTTGCGCGCAACATGCTTGCATTTATTTTAATTAGATGCGTGTGGCATGTGGACAGTTGAATGGGCAACCAAAAAAAGCATGTGGACTGAGCGAGAGGGGGGGGGAGGGAGTGTGTGTATGTGAGCGAGAGAGAAGAGGAGTTAGCCAGGCAATGTTAATGAACTGACGCCATGAAAGCTGTTCAGATGCAGCGGCGAGCGGCACGCGGCATGCGACAGGGGCAAGGACTGCGCTGTGGACTTGCCAAGAAATAATATTTTCATAGTCGTCGCTGTGGTGAAAAAAGCGAAAGCAGCTCAAGCAGCCAGCCAAGTGCGAGCTACAGAAATTAGGAGAAAAACAACTTTGCACAGGAGTCAGAACGAGAGAGACAGAGAGAGAGGGGTGGGTGCAGGGGCAGGGGCAGGGGGTGGTATGTGGGCGAGATATTTGTCTCAAGGCTGCAGATGCAACCAAATGCGGCACAAACAACTGAAATGGGACAAAGTAATGGCGCTACTTGAGCAACCACCACAGACAATAAATATGCCCGAACTACCTACCCTTAACCCCACCGTCCACCCCCGCCCCCTGTGCCTCTCGCCCGCTTTGAGGAAAGCTCATAAAAGTAGAAGTAAAACTAAAAATCTACTTGTAACCCAATTTAAATAAACTTTGGTCACAAATTTAGAGTAAACTGAATCCTTATATATAGGTGTACATAGGTCTGTGTCCAGATCTGGACTAAAATTAGATGCCAAATGTTAGGTTATGTTCGATTGTGGTTATGTGAGGTTATGTTGGTTTATTTCGGTTCATATTTGAGATAAGAATATATTGAGTTATCTTATGTGAGGTTATGTTGCCTAATGTGAGGTTATGTGGATATAGGTGATCTCTATAGTGAAGCATGTGAAGTTATGTGGCGCTCAAAGAGATTCAGTTATAATGTATTAGCTTGTAATGAGCCTATATGAGGTATATAGTTGAAATATGTGAGATGTGCTCGCTTATATTGCATTATGTAACCTTGCATAGAGGTTATGTTGAAATCTTCAGAGCTTTGTTGGATTACGTGAGTTTAAGTTGGAATATGTTTGAAATATTTGAGCTCGATGATCTAATATATGAGCTTATATTAGATACAAAGAGTTTCTATAATAATATACTAGCTTATAAAGAACTATGTGAGGTTATGTTGGATTATGTGCGGTTCGATTAGGTTCCCTAGTATTAAACATAGATAAATTCTTATTAGATAACATTAAGCTCGAGAAAATAACATTTTTAAATTGCATTCCCAGTAGAGTAAAATACAGTGAAGCTTAGCTATATCAGTACGAATTACAATAGCTTGACAAGTATTTGAAGATCTGTCGAAAGGTATTTGAAATAACTAAGAAACAAGTCCAATTGAGATCGATATTATTATATATAATGATGATCATACTATATATGCTCTGCGAGACCAAATCATGCTACATCATAAGAGTTTCCAATTAGAAGTCTGTCATTTCCTTATTTCAACGCAAGCCAAGTTGCCGAAAGTCTTTTAGATCCACAAGTTTAGTGTTGCGCACCTTTAATTAAGCTAAATAAGGAGAATGTTAAGTAGATGAGTTTATATAAACATAACCTCAAAGTATTAGCGCCGAAAAATCCACTTGTAATGCGACCAAAATGTAATTTTACACTTTGAACAGTTTTTCTACCACTTAACCTCAACCTCAGTCCAACTGCAGCCAACGAAAACAGCAACAACAACAACAACAACAAAATGCAACCCACCCTCAAAGATAGAAGAAGCAACAAAAACAAATGCAATGTAAACTGCGCCATATTGAAAACTGTCAGCCATTAAAATTTATAGAAATGTGCGAACACTGTAACGCCGGCAGCGACGCTGCGCCTAAAATGCGTGCATTGGCAGCGACAGCGGCAGCGGCAGCGACAATAACAGCCAAAGCGAACAGCAACAACAACAGCAAGAGCTGAGCAATCAGCTGAGTTCTTTGGGGAGCCGTAGTAAAAAGTAGTAAAAGCAGCTGCATATAAAAAAAGTAAATAAAATAAAAAATAAAAGAAAAGCAACAACAACAAACACAAAGCGACTCAAGAGCAAATAAAGGTCGCCCAACAGCTGCGTAGCAGCGCCGCGTGCAGTTGCAGCATGCAGAGACAGCGACTGAGCGCAAGCCGAATGTAATGCGCGCGTGCTCTTTCTCTCTCTCTCTCTCTCGCTCTCGTTCACACTGTTTCGCACTCTTGCACTCGCTCACTCATATCAAAACGTAGTATAGGGGCATATATATGTGTGTGTGTGTGTGTGAGAGTCGTACGTTGAGTGGGCTGGGTTTTTGCGCTGGCTAACTAGTCGCCGTCGCCCAGCCTAAAAGCAGATTCCATGTGTGCGTCTACATATATATATGCACACGTATATACGTATGTGGCTGTGTGTGTGTGTGCGAGAGAGTGCATGTGTGTGTGTATGTGTGCACAACTGCACATGGCTGCGGCATTGCTGTTGTTGCTGTTGCTGTTGCTGTTGCTTTAGTTGCGAGGCTCGTTTTTGTATGTGCGACTGCTTGTGCGTCCATTGGGCATTGCACATGTGTACATATGTATGAGTGTGTGTTTGTGTGCGAGTGCTGTGTAGCTGTGCAGTTGTGTGTGTGCGTGCGTTTCAGGCCAAAGCCAAACCCCTCCTCCACTGCCCAATGGCCTGAGCGGGGGGCGTTAAAACGCATAAATGTTGATTACACACAATTTCACATTTTTCTTTTTCCATTTTAACAGAAAAAACACATATAATAAAAAAAAAGAAAAATTTTGTTGTTGGTTTTTTTTGGGCGGGGGCGCGGGGCGTGTGCTGAATGCGCGCCTATGTATGGTCAGCAGTTGCAGTTGCTGTTGTTGCTATTGTTGTTGTTGTTGTATTGGTTCAATTGCAAATGACCAAACAGAGGGGCGCAGTGTAAATATGTATCGCATATGAGAATAGCGGCGCGCGCGTGTGTGTGGAGAGTTTGTATATAGATGTGTGTACGTATGTGTATTTGTGTGTGTTTGTCTAATTGTTGTTGCTGCTGCTAGGCGAAATTTGAAACAGCATGAGTTGCCTGCGTCGACAGCGACGTTAGCGTCAATGGCTCAAATGTCAAGGAACGACCGAAAACTATTTTTTTTGTGTTTAATGTGAAAAAGAAGAAAAACAAATCGAAAGGATAATGCAAGAATACAATGAAAATGAAAGAAAAATTAGCCATGTATTTATGCATAAGTGAGTTTTCGTTTAGTTGGCATATCAACACTGTCCAATTGGAGTGATGTTAGTTTTAGTTGGAATATCAGCAAGTCTAATTGGCATACATATTCCTATAAAGCGAAGTTATAATTTATTAAATATTAAATATTTTATATATCCAATTTTAATAAAATATATTTTTATAAAATACGGTAATTTGTTCAATATAAAACAAAAAAGTCCCATGTCTTCTTAATATTATAATTCATTTATTATTTATTGCATTAATTCTCAACTAATATAAATATAAACTTTTATATACATACATAAGATATTGCATATTAATTTATACATATATATTTATTACTTCTAATACATTTATTTATTAAAAATCAATTGAATTTTGTCATTCAATTCTCTTTTGATTGTTCTTATGCGTTATATCTTATATTAATTTAATAGTAAAAAATTGTTTTTAACTTATTTTATGCATAAAATTAAGCAATCAAATAAGTAATAAACTACTGATTGGAATGAAGCAAATACCAATTCAACAAGCAATGTTCTCGTCTAATTAGCATTTCAATCAGCACAGCAAAAGCTGGAGGCTACAAAACTCATGTGCACAACATGTCGGTAAGCTGACTGTTACGATAAGAGTACACATTTGACAGCCTGTAGACGGCAGTGTTGCCAGAGCAACGTCTAGATTTATATGGTAAAAACAAATATTACAGCTAGTTTTTCATAAGAAATTCAACTTTCGTCATCAAAAAATAACAATTGTGCTGTAGAAAATAAATTTTCTTTTATAATATCAACGTGTTCGCTGTAATGGTACACTGTATATTGTGTGCTCCCCACACAAAGCATCTGGCAACCCTGCGGCACTGACATTGCGGCTCACACGCACGCAACACATGCGAACGCAAAACTCACACGCATACACAAATACAAACAAAGCGCGTGTAGAAAATTTTTTTTCAACGTTCATAATTTTGTACGGAGCTGGGGAGCTGCTGGAGCTGCAAATAAACAGTAAAAATATTTAAAGCAATTGTTGAACAAATATTCACAACAATACTCAAAAATTGAGTGTTGAATATAATTTTGTGTATACGGAAAACGTGAGCAATTTTGTTTTGTGTTTGTGCCTCATTCATACATTTTTGTTCGTGGCTGCTTAACAGTTGCATTGCCTTTCATTTTTTTTTTAAATATATTTGTTTCCTTCGCTGAGTGCATGTGCAAGAAGAATAATAATAATAACGGGAGCCACAATAACTGCGCTGGAGCAAAATAAGCGCAAGACGCATTGACTAAAATATACGCTAGCTTCTGCATACGTCTTGCCTTTGTGGCTGTGTGTGTGTGTGTATGTGCGTGTGCATGTGCATGTGTGAGTAGGTAAGTTTTTGCTTCATAAATCTACAATTGCTGAAAAATATAAAGAAAAAGTATTGCGTAGGTCTTCCGCGGCTTTCTTTGTCTCGCACTTCGCAATGTGTGTGTGTGTGTGTGTGTGTTTGCATGCTAATTTTCCTTGTACTGAACACTCTTTAATTTAATAATTGTTGCTTAGCTTTTGTTGGCTTCATTTTGTTATTGATTTTTTTATTCCTGCAGCGTGCGTGACAAGTGTTGCCGCTAACCCCCCACTCTCTCTCCCCCTTTACCCACCCGACGCTCTGTCCTCTCTTCCCTTCGCACATTTGTCATGCTAGTCTGTGCGAGTGTGTGTGTGTATGTAGCGGCATTTGCTGCTGCTTGTGTGCGTGCTTGTCGCCAAGAAATCAATAACTTTTAAAATAAATATAAATACATACATCGGAAAACAAAGCATTCGCATGCCAGCACCAAATTAAAAATTCCTTTCCACTCTGTTGTTGTTGATTCTTATATTTATATTTATTTTTGTTGCTGTTACGTTTCGTGCCTTTGCCACTGATAATTAGCTGTAGCGTTGTTGTTGTTTTTCGCTGGCGGCTTTCTGGAATTTTCTCAAATATTTTGGACATTCGCTGCGCTGCATTTTAGCACCTGCCATGCGTTGCACAAAATGCTGCGTGTGCTTTGCGCCTTGAAAGAGTGTTTTTGTTATTGTTATTGTTTTTGTTTTTGTTTTTGCATTTGCAATTACTTTATTGCGGTGCAGTTTATCGAACGACACACACACGCACGCAAACACACAGACACAAACACACTGACGTAGATAGCACAATCTGCCAGTCAAATGAGGTTATGTAGCAATTAGAGTTTGACACGCTTCGTGGGCGGTTTCTTTGAATAAAGCAGAAATCGAAATTATTATAAAAGAAAATGTCCATTAACTTTGTTTTGCTTTTGCTTTATTTCTTTTTAATTTTACTTTTAATTAAACTGAAAGAAAATGCTTTAATTATATTTGATCGGCAATGCGGTAATTTCTATCTTTATGTGTTTTTTTATTGCCATAGCTGTTTGGAAGTTATAGTAGATATGAATGGGATATATTATATAGACGATATGTATTTATAAACAAATCTTAACTCTTAGAGGAAAATTTATCTCAAGATCCTCAGCTATAGACAATATATTTTTTATGTACATAGATTGAAAAATATGATATTTGAAAAAGATAATGATTTCATATGGTTTCTTTAGCTTACACAGCTCAACTAAATCAAGTTTCCATATACTTTTTATTGTCGAAACATTCAGATATCGTATATCGCTTCAATTTATAAGAGTTTATATATATAGTATGGCCAAAGTGGATCTGCTTTATTTTATTTATCATGTAAATTATGTTTAATTATCGATAACATCTTTAGCATATAATTAATTAGAAAACTATTTAAAATATATATACTTCATAATATATTATATAGTAAATGTAAAATGTAGGGCATTCGCTATTCGATCAAGCGCACTTAGCTGGCAACTGCTGAATCTGTTGCTCTTGCATATGCAAATTTACGGTTAGTTTGCTTAATTGTAGTTTAAGACTTGTGAACTGAGCGCGCACACACACACACACAGAGTGAGAGAGAGAGAGAGAGAGTGTTTGTATCTTTGGTATCTGTGGCATCTCATTTGTATCTTGTATCTGCTGCAATAAAATGCAGCAGCGCAAACTTTTTGCCGTTTGTTGAAAGCGAAAGTCAATGAAGGTGGCAGCGAGTGCATAAACGTGCACCTGCCACACACGCAGAGTAAAGTGGCGTCCTTGAGGCACTCCACAACAACAACAAGAACAGCAACAACATCTACAACGGGAACTTTGTAAAACTCTCAATTTTCACGCTTTCACGCTCCTTTGCTCCCATTGCAGAACACAAGAACAACAACAGAAGTAGCAGCAACAGCGGCAGCAGCAATAGCAGCAGGAAGAAGAAGAAGCAGAAGCAGCAGAGTTAGCACCATGTCCAGTCTGCCACGTCGCATCATCAAGGAAACGCAACGGCTGATGCTGGAGCCAGTGCCCGGCATCAATGCTATACCCGATGAGAATAATGCACGCTATTTCCATGTAATTGTCACCGGGCCGAATGATTCGCCCTTCGAGGGCGGCATCTTCAAGCTGGAACTGTTTCTGCCCGAAGATTATCCGATGTCGGCGCCCAAGGTGCGCTTCATAACAAAGATCTATCATCCGAATATCGATCGCCTGGGCCGCATCTGCTTGGACGTGCTGAAGGACAAATGGAGTCCGGCCTTGCAGATACGCACGATTCTGCTGTCCATTCAGGCGCTGCTCAGCGCACCCAATCCGGATGATCCGCTGGCCAACGATGTGGCCGAATTGTGGAAGGTCAACGAGGCGGAGGCCATACGCAACGCACGCGAATGGACCCAGAAGTATGCGGTCGAAGACTGAAGCGCAACTGACTGCGAGGGAGGGCGCAACGGGATGGGACGGGACGGAACGCGGGGGGAATGCGAACAATGAACAAGACGAAGGAGGAGGAGCAGAAGATGGCGCCGTTCTGGCGGAAAGAAGACGAAGAGGAGAAGTTGTAGGGCAGGGCAGGGGAACTGGGCGGGCTTGTATGTATGTGTGTGTGTGGGCGTGTGTGTGAGTGGGTGGGTGGGTGGTTATGAGCGTGTGTGTAAGCAAAGAAACGAAATGAACAAGACGGAAATTCTTATAATATAATTAATGCATATATAAATATATATATATATATATATATATATATATATATATATATATATATATATATATATATATATATATATATATATATATATATATATATATATCCTGGGCGGATTTCTCGACCGACGCCGATTATGATATATGATGAAGAAACAATGATGATGTTACAAGAAATTCACGATGCAGAAATAAACACATCTAGAACTCTGGAAAATGTTGTACACAATTATAGAGAAGCTAGGCAAACGGAGTTCTACGAACTACCAATAAAAAAAACAAAAAAAATAAAAAAATATTTCAATACTATATAGAACTACTATAACTATAGACATTTGATATTGAACATTGTTCGTACATATAGACACGATAATAATGCCCTATATATGACTATATAGCGTAAGCAGTGCTTTAGGGAACCGAAACACAATCCTTTGAATCAATCAAATCAAATCAAATCGAATCAAATCAATCCGTAAATCGATAGCTCGAAACTCAATCGAGAGATTCGAACTGAGATTTATTCAGTTTTCAGTTCGATTTCCGTTTCAGTTTCCGTTTCTGTTTCTGTTTCTGTTTCAGTTCTTTCTTTTTCAAATATAACTCGGTTGTGTTCTGGGTCCTCAGCTTTTGATCAATGTGTACGACATCAATAAGAAACGAGCCTTTTATGGAATTAGTACTTTACACAAAAAATAATAATAAATAAATAAAAATCAAAATAAAAATATAAATTAAAAACTGATTTTTTATTTCAAATTTAGTTAGTTCTTGGAATGATATGGAATGGAATGAAATGGGCTTTGAAATGAAATGAAATGAAATGAATTGGTTTTTGAAGTTAAATAGAATGGAACAAAGTGGTATTTGAAATGAAATGAAATGGAATTTGGAACACTGTACAAAATGGAATATAATGGAATTTTTTAGATGCAATGAAATGAAACGAGAAACGGTTTTTGAAATTAAATGGTTTTGAAAATTAGATGGGATGGGATGCGGTGAAATAGAACACTATGTTGGAAATGGAAATGATTTTTGATATAAAGTGGAATGAAATGGAATTTAGGCATATTTTTAGTGAAATGGAACACTATATCTGATAAGAAATCAAATGGCATTTGGGATGAAACGAAATGGAATAGTATAGATATGAAATGGTGTTGAATATTATTGGATGGAATACTATATAAGAAATAGAGTATAATAGTAGTTGGAATGGAACATGGCAGTTAAAATGAAAGGGAATTTTATTTGAAATGAAATGGAATGAAGTGCAGAAATGGTATTTAGAAGGGCATGGAATGATGGAATGGTATAAGGAATGAATTATGTGCGGAGTAAAGGAATGAAATGAAATTGCGCTGTGGACTATTAATAGAATGGAAATAGTTATATGGAATGGAATGGAATGGAATGTATAAAGAGGAATGATGTACAAGCGAAACGTGTGCTAAACTCCAGCTTAAATACCTTGAACTAGGAACTTAAACAAGTTGTAGCAGTCTGAATTAATGCAGAGATTGAAAAGGACTCGTACTACGACTAGGGAAATAGGTCAACAGACAAAAATTGTTAGCTACTCGGAGTTACTTAGAGGAAAAGTGAGTACAATAGTCAGAAGAGAGTTGAGTAGATGCGGAAAGAGAATAGATCGTAAGACTTAGCTGTTCATATTTGAGTGCTTATCTATACTATATATCTGTATATCTAACTGTATCTATCTATCTCTCTTTATATATATATTCAGGATGCGACTGAGCTCTCCTTGTGTTGTGTCCTGCTGCAGTTGTCAATCAAGCTGTGGGTGGGCGAGCTCGCACATGGGGGTTGGTCGGGTGGCTGCGGGTGTTGGGCGTGCGAAGCCCTTAACCCCTTTTTATAGGGTGGCCAAATTGTTGGCCACACCCCGTGCCGTTAGCATATGCCTGCTGATTGGATGCGCGTCGCTCTGTCTCTTGTTCTTGTTGTTTCTCTTGTTGTTGTTGTTGTTGATTCGCCTCTCGAGGCTGTTGCAGGGCAGGCTCTGGTCATGCTTTTGGCTTTGCCTTTACCTCTGACCAGACCCAGGCAGTCAAATGTCGAACCTAAAAGATTTTTTTTACCATCTCTCTCTCTCTCTCTCTCTCTCACCCATTCTCTCTGTCTCTGTTGCGCTGTCTGTGTGATGTATTTTTTTTTCTGTATTTTGTTTCCAGTTCCATATAACTTTTTATCGCATTACACACACACACACACACGGACGGCCTCCTCCCGCACCTTTGTGCTGGGCATGGTCAACGCATATGCAGAACGTCTAGCTCTCGTCGGCTAGGGGCGGGCGGGCGAGACGAAGGAGGTGGCGGCGTTGGTTGAGCGCTTGAGGTGAGGATTTTTATCGGCAGCAGCTTCATTGTGTGTATTTGCCATGTTTGCATAGACAAAGGCGCGGCCGAGCGCCGCATGCAGTTGGAAGCCAAGAGGGCAAGCGGACGAGGGGGCGTGGTCGGGTGGCTTAGGCGCCAGACTCGGGTTTGGCCCAGCTAGCCAGCTAGCCAGCTGGCCAGCTATTAATCGCTTTCAAGTTGAAAGTCCACAGTGCACAGAGAGCTCCATGTGTGTGGCACCTGCTGCGGGCTAAACTCCGACCCACCCAAATGCCGCCTATGTGTGTCTGTGTGTGTGTGTGTGTGTGTGGCATTTGCTCTTTATGCCACGCTACCTGCAGCAGTTGGCCAGTCATAAGATAAGGCATTGTCCCAGCCCCATAAGCCGGAAACATTAGGCCTCACTTCGATCTGCTGCCAACGCTTCCACAGCCTCAGCCTCAGCTACTGCCACTGCCACTGCCACTGCCACTGCCACTGCTTGTGCCACTGCCTTTGCAGTTGCTGATTTATGTGACAATTTTGCGTTGCGCTCATAATTCGTGGCCAGCTTTATCTGAAGATCTGCGAGCTCGAACGTTCAGCTCGAATCTTATCTAACTTGCGGATTCTTATCTGCTGAGCGCCAAAACGGGTTCTGCTTGGCTCAGGCGCGATGTTAATTGGTCGCAGCGACTAAGCATGCCAGTGTTGGTAAGTGGCTAAAGCTCGAGGGCTAGAGAAACCAAGATGCATTTAGTAATATTCGCAGAGTCTGTGAACGCTTCTAAATTAATTTCGCTTTTGGCTCGTGCGTCATTTAGTGTTGGAAAGTATAATAAACAAGGCATTTTGAGTGTTGGTAAATGCAAGTGTGCGAGCCACATAAGAAATAGAGCTAGTTCAAGTTTCATATATTACATATTCAGTATTAAAGTGTTGAAAGCTGCATATCCGTGCGCTTTGAGTGTTGGTAAACGACTAAAGCTGCAGTACAACTCAGTTTTTGAAGAACTTATATGATTAAAGTGACGTAAATACTTAAAAATGCTGAACACTATTTTAGCTTGTGTGAAATAAGCTTTTAGTGTTGGTAAATTTTACAATCAATACATTTTGAGTGTTGGTAAGCGACTAAAATTGCAGTCTAGCTAAGTGTAAATATTTAAAAATACTCAAAACTTTTATAGCTTGTATGAAATAAGCTTTTAGTGTTGGTAAAGCTGACAAGTAATATATTTTGAGTGTTGGTAAACGACTAAAATTGCAGTCTAGTTAAGTGTAAATATTTAAAAACTCTCAAAACTTTTATAGCTTGTATGAAATAAGCTTTTAGTGTTGGTAAATCTGACAAGCAATATATTTTGAGTGTTGGTAAACGACTAAAATTGCAGTCTAGCTAAGCATAAATATTTAAAAACTCTCAAAACTTGTATAGCTTGTATGAAATAAGCTTTTAGTGTTGGTAAATCTGACAAGCAATACATTTTGAGTGTTGGTAAATGCAATATAGTAAAGCTACGCTGCCTTTAAGCTGATCACATAATAGCTTAAAATAGTTAAGCGCTAGGCTTAGAGTTAAGTTAGCTTGCAGTGTTGAAAAGTGATCAAAAACAGTATTTAGTGTTGCAAAATGTCAGCTTATTCAGTTGCTAAATGCCACAGGCAGTGTTGGTGAGTGCTGATGAGAAGCCAAAGAGGGCTAATTGGAGTGTGATGTGAGTGGAAGGAGAGCATAATCCTTGAAATTTATAACTCAACTTGTAGTCAAATATTTATCTATTTAACTGTGCAAATTATCTACAAGCACAACAACTTTTATGTTTGTTTAATGATTCAAGGGTGAGCCAAATGAAAATATATACACAAATTTATATAGATATATAGATATATAGAGAGAGAGATATGTGGTCAGCAGACAAACTGTTTTTGTGTTTGGTCCGAAAGAAAATGCCCAAAACGCTTTCAACTCGCCAGAGAGAGAAGGAGAGAGTGGCAGGTGGGGAGCTGGGGCAGCTGGGGCAGCTGGGGCAGCTGGGGTTGCTGCTTGTTTTTGGAGCCTTTCATCCCGTTGGACCGTGCTGCATCCTTCGCATGCTCGTCCATTCGCACAAAACCGAAACAAATAATTGATGAAACAGCAAAGCGCACGTAGGGATTTTTGAGCCGTCGCTCTGCCTGCTGCCCGCGCCACTGTTGTGCTGCTGTTGTGCATGCAACCACTGCCAGCCCCATAGCTCAGGCCGTGCAACATCTCTGCCTGCCAGCGGCTGCTGCTGAGGATCCGGAGAGACGCATGACGTTGCCCACATGCGACGTTAAGTACATGCCATGTGTCCTACATGCACACACACACACACACACAGACATGTATATATGTTGTATATATAATATATATGTTCCTGTACGTGCGCACTTATCGATTTTCTGCTACACGTTCAAACGTGAAGCGAAATGCGCCCAAAGCGTCGTCGACGTCGTTGCTTCGGT